CCAGGATCCCATATGGGTGCCATTTCAAGTCCCAGGTCCTCCACTTCTCAGCTAGCTCCCTGCCTGTGGCCTGAGAAAGCAGTAGAGGATAGTCCAAAACCTTGGGACCCTGCAGCCACGTGGGATACCCTGAAGAAGCTCCTGGCTTTTGGTTTCAGAAGAACTCAGCTCCAGCCTTTGTGGTCACTTGGAGAGTGACCAGCAGAAAGAAGATCTTACAGCTCTGTATCTCCTTCTCTCTATATAAATCTGCCTTTCCAATAAAAATAAAAGAGTTGAGGTTTCCCACTTGGATCATTCTCAATTCTGGAATCGAGAAAACAGAAGGTGGTTTTGATTTCCTGTTTTTGAACCATGCTCCTATATTCTTAGATAAACAACACACCATTTGCTAATAATCCCAATGTCTGAACAGGTTGTCTCCAAATGCAAGAATCTGCAATGACAAGAGCTATCTACAACCATACTTTATTTTCATAGCACCTGGGAATCCCATAACAGCTAACATTCATTGGATGCTTTTTTATTTTCCAGGAACTTTTCAGACTCTGTCTGTCTTCCATAATCTCAACAGAGAAATACCACTCATTATCCCAGTTTTACAGATGGGGGAAAATGTAGCCTGCTGAATTTAAGAAGATGGCCTCAGGCCATTGGGAAGGAAGGTAGCTAGCTGTTGGATGCAGGCCATCTCAAACACTGCTTCAAAGATCATATTCTCAGCCTCTAAGTTGTGTTGCTTATGAATAAGAACAGCAACCAATGTAGTTGTCTCAATTCCCTGATTCTAATGAGATCACTCATCACTCGGGAAAGGCTTTCATTTCCGCACTCTGAAGCCCACTCTCTGCCCACGAATGGTACAACAAAAAAAAAAGAAAAAACTTCTTTCACATCCGGGCTTTGTGAAGCTTTCAGTGGTTCACAGGCTGTACCCCAGCACTGCCTCACAAAGCCCACCACAGCTTCAGCGGGCGCAATGAAAGGAATAAACACAGCATGTGTTATATGAGAAGGCCAGCCCTCAGACCCAAAGAGATCTCAGTTACAACCACGCCACTGGGGTTAAAGCACAGCCCACGCCATCACATCAGTTTTTCCAATTATGGACCTGAGAGATAGAAAGAAAGAAATATTGAGCTAACAACAAAGCTTCTAAAAATGTCCTTAACCTATAATGAAAAGAACTCAAGACAACAGCAGCCCTAGGTTAAATCCTTGTTCTCTCACTCCATTCTCTTTGACCACCCCCATTTTCTCAACAACTAGAGGGACCTCATCTATCCCCAATTTTAATGCTCTTCATTTCTTTTTCTCTAGAAGTTTGACTTGCCTTGAAAGTGCTCCCAGGCCCTCTCTCCTGAACTATATTCTCCTCTTCATCAAGCCCATTGTCCTAACAGATTGGACTTGGAAAGGGAGGTTCCTTGGTGAAGCAGCCCCTCTTTGCAATGGACGTTAGGCCGCAGATGTCCTTTAGTGTGACTTCCAACAAAGGTTTATTCTTAAAATTACTAAACCAATCCACACCAGGTAGTGAATCACAGTCACCTTGCTCAATCACACATGACCACGGTGTTTGCTGCTGCCTCCTTTGAGGCATTTGAGACAGTGGCAGGGGGGCAGGCATCATGGTGTACCATGCTAAGCCTCCACTCATACTTCAGCCTCCCACATAGGCACCAGTTGCAATTCTAGCTGCTCCACCTCCAATACAGCTCCCTGATAATATGCTATGCCTAAAAAGGCAGCAGAGGAGAACCCAAATTCTTGGGCCTCTGCACTTACATGGGTGACCTGGAAGAAGTTCCTGATTCCTGGTTTTGAATTGGCTCAGCTCCAGCCATTGCAGCCATTTGGGAAGTGAACCAACAGACGGAGGAACTATCTCTATCTCTCCTTTTCCGTCTGCTAATAGTTCCTTTTGAATAGAGATAAATATTTAAAAGAAAAAAAAGCCTTAGAAAAAGAAAAAAATAATTAAGATCCTTCCAAAGCTCTGTTGACTTTGGTATCCTCCCATTTCTTTTTTTTTTTTGGCTTGTATTTATTAATATTATTATGTTCCATGACATTTGTAGGTATGGGGATCCTCCCCTTCACCTCCCCTTCCCCATTTCTTCTAAACCTGATTCACATAACTCAAAAAGAAAAAAAAAATCTAAGTTTCACTTGGACCAAGCGTAGGTTGATAAGTGTAAGATAAGGTTAAGAACATACACTTAGGGAGAGAACGCCTACTGAAGGACAAATGAGACAGAAGAGTCACTGCTATCACCTCTAATCCCAGCTGACTCCCAGAAATGCCCGTCTCCACAAAGGGCTGCATTTTCTGACCAACTGTGCTTTGATTCAAGCAACACAGTAAAAGTAAGCAAAACTTCATCTGATTCTATTTTATTGTGTTCTCTGTATAATTTCTAAAAACATATATAGTAATTTTCCTTCTTCTAGTTGCACATAAAAATTCATCACCATAGAATCACCCTGCTCATTTTGCAGGGGCAGGCTCTGTGTTGAGAACGCCACGTGAGCACAGGCCAGGGAGCAGGTAGGCACAGACTTGGGGAATACAGCAGATTGTGACAACACACATGACCAACGGACACGCTTCCTAGCACATCAGTATCTCAGGTTTTAACCCCAACTTACTCTTTATAGTACTGCTTACCCACTGTAATTATCTTGAAAAATCACAAAAAAATAGAAAAATGTCCAATAAGCCAACACATCATGCATCACTGTGGAACAATGGAGTGAACCTAGCCACATTGAAGGACCCGGCTTCTCCAAACAAAAGCTGAGGAAATGAATGTGCCTTAAGGGTGGACATTTTTCTCGCCTACTGAAGTCAGGAAAACTCTCCCTCTAGAATGGCTCTGACTGGCAGATATTTTCCAAGAGAAGACAGCTGAGTTAAGGGAGGCCTGTAGTCATCTTATGTCAATGGCTCAAACAGTAGTTTCCTCCAGCTCACTCAGACACACAGTTGGATTTCTCTTGCAAATTATTGACTCAATATGCCTGTAGTTGTTTTCCTTCTTTCAGTAGTACTTGTCAGTTAAAAATTATAAATGACTTCAAGTTGCTGGTATCTATTTCATGTGGCTTTTAGGGTGGTCAGGATGTCTAACTCAGGAAGGATAAAATGACAAAATGTTCTAGGACTCAAAAAATCCTTACACTACCATGAATTTTCCAGACTAAAAGCTACTCCTAACTGGGCTGTTTGGGAGAATATCTTCAGATAATTCTATTTTGCTAACGAATCATTAGAAAGGAATCAAAGAAAAAATAAAGATGCAATGGTACTACTAGGCAAAAAGTTAATCTATAAACTTATATAGAACATGCTTACTGTGGTTGAAAGAGAGAAACCACATACAGATTGAGCAACAACTCATCATATTAGGTGTCATAACCTTAGGCATTGGCATTTTCCAGTCGTTTCGGATGGCACTCATAAAGATGGCAGAAGTAATCCAATCCCTCAAGACCATTTCCCAAACAGAAATGCACTTTCGAAACAGACTTAGCAGAAGCAACATATTTCATTTATTTGTTTGTTTCCTTACTCAAGAGACAGGACACACTCCCACCAACTGATTCACTCTGCCTATGTCAGCAAGAGCCATGGCCAAAACCAGGAACCAAGAACTCAACTCAGGTCACCCATGCAAGTGAGTGTTAGGAACCCAGTACTTCATCTATCACGGGCTGCCTCCGAGGATCCGCAACAAGAGGAAGCTGCCAACAGGAGCAGGAATTGAATCCAGGGACTTTAGTGCAGGTTTAGGGTGTCTCACAAGACTTGGCTAAAAGATCCCCCAAGAAGCAACATATTTTCACATTTACTCCTAAGGAATCAATGTAATCTTTTAAAAACAAGCAGTGTATTTAGCACAGCCAATAGATACCAGTTTCAACAACAAGTCAATCCATTAATAATACCTACAACAAATATGCCTGGGAAAATTTTCAGAGTAGCACAGTCACAGATCAGAGTGAGAGACAAATACGACTTATATGACTTTCACATTTTACATGAAAATGAGTTTTTTAAAAATTGCAAGCTGGCCCATGTAGTTTTAAAGTGGAATTTCCCATTCAGGATTTGGGATTCCAACCAATGTGCCTGGCTTACTACCTAGTAACGAACAAAAGCAGTATGTTCAAGTCAGTTCTTAACTGAAAAGCTATCCACAAAAGTGTCAATAGTGAACAGCTCACAGTTTGCCCAGTTCTAAATGACACACCAAATTCTTTCACCTTAATCTTTGAAAGAAGAATGGAAAACCCACCTGGTATTACAAAATTCCCTGGGAATAGAAAAAGAAGGAATAAGAGAGTAGCACTAGCCAGTGATGTGGTTAACAGGATTGTGAGCCTGGAAAGGAAACCTCTGTAAAATTACCACCTCATCAGTTTGGCTGCGGGGAAGCATCAGGATACACCAAGGAAAAAATGATATGAAAATAAATGGAACAACTAAAAGTGTTTGAAAACTTCACATTCATCTCAACTGCAGAGTATTCCTCCATTAAATTTTTTTTTACCAAATATAATACTACAAAAGTACATAATGCTTCAGAAATAAAACTGGGCTTCCAAGTGGGGCCTTTATTTTCCATCTCCTTTCTCGGATGCCTGCCTCCTACTTAAGACCAACTTTTGGCAGGAACACAGAAAGTGTCTAGATAGACAAGACAAAGGAAGTCTAAGTGAGCAAATGCTGGCACTCATAAATGAAGCAGTCTTCTGAACACCAAAGAGCCCAAATACAGGCTACACAATGCTTCCTAAAAAAAGGTTCACTTTTTAAAAAAGTGAGACACACACAGTTCTCAAAGATCAGTAAGGCAGTGTCCTGGATGAGTGTCTTCCGCTGCAAACTGACAAACTTTGGCAAACGTGTGTGAACAGAGCCTGCAGGCACACACCCTGTGCACAGTCCTTCAGCAGAGTTCAGCGGCATATTATCAATGCATGCAGTTACTCACTTGTCTCCGTCTGTAATGAGCAAAATGCGAGAGTCCTAACACTGTGGCAAGAGCTCCTCCTCCAACCAGAACAGTCCCTTTAACTGCCTTTTGAAACGCCATTTCTCAGCCTACAAAAGGAAACAGAGACAGAGACAAAGTTAATTGGAATTTTGTTATCACAAAACAACCGCAATATCATTAAAAAAAAACTTCGTAGATTATGAAACTATGTTAAACTAGAAAAAGAGACATAAAACAAGGAAATTACTAACATATCAACTCGTATACCACAATTCAAATGTAATCATGAAAATCTAGTTAAGGGTACTGATTATACAAAAGTTAATCCCAGATCCGACAGGAATTAAAGAAAGAAAATCAAAGGAACGGGCAACTGAAAATATTTAAACAGTATAAAGTCAAGAGAGCTGTGAAAAGAAATGTCACGGTGTATTTGACAAAACTTCAGGTTGTCCTTGCAAATTTATTCAAGAGTGCATCCCCTCCAGAAGGAAAACTGGTGAAACGTGTGGGGCGCCCGATGTGCAGGAAGCGCCAGGCCTGCTTCTGCTTCTGTGGCAACTGCAATAACACAAATTGTGCTACAACCCTCTTTCCCTTGTTTTGTCCTTCCTGACGAAGCTCTCACTAGAGCCAAAAGTCAAGACTCAATATATTTCCTTTGCTAAAAATGCCTACACTTTAGAGATAAGAAGTAAAAAGATATCATAACATAATTCTTTCACAAAGTAGCCTAATTAGCCTGCTGGAATACCTTCATCAGAAGAACTTCCAAAAAAAAAAAAAAAACAAAGAAAACTATTTTTAGCTGGAGTTGCATGACCCCATAATTTCTAGAGGAAACGCTTCAGATTAGGCAGGCTTTCATGCCCACTGTGCATTCTACATAAAGTTAACCCTTGTGTCAACCTTGTGTTAACCCTGACTTTTCTTTCATTTGGTTCCCACTGCTGAACTGAACACGCAGTTTAGTTTTCAGAAACCAAAAGGGGGAAAGAGCCACTTTGTGACTCAGAATTGAGCGATTTGATCTGCCTAAGACTTTCCATTCACAAAAGCAACTGGCATGCCCACATCTTACACGGAAGCTACTACCCCTTTTTCCTATATGGGTGAGGTCTGATTTGTCTGAACAGCACACCGTATGCTATACTGATGTCTCATAATTCAAGAATGCATTCACTATGAAAGTAATTTTAAATATACAATACTAAAAAAAACCATATCTCAGTGTAAATTATGATACAGTAAAATATTGAAGGTCCATCCTGGACAGATAGTATTATCATACTACTCCAAGCTAATAAATGTCAGTACAGTTCTAACCACAATTCAAGAGAAAATTCATTGTGGAATTCTAAAAACTATATACTAAAATAAAAGTATTTCTTAAAATTTTGTCTTTCATTTCATTCTTTTTTCAAAACTCCTAAATTCCAAGGCTTTTTTTTTTAATAAGATGATTAGCAGGAAAATATTTCCCATGCACACTCAACTGCTAGAGGCATCATTTTGTTATTGTTTGTTTGTTTACTATCTGTTGTCTATATAACTTTCCAAGGTAATTGAAGGCATAGCTGTGGGCTGGCTATGGAATTTCAGTCATCAGACAGCCAACTCTAAGCAACTCGTGAATAAAAGCTCCAAGTTAGCAGGCACCTATTTACTCACCATCCCATTCAAGGCATTACTGTAAATGTTCATATGGGTGTCTGTCATACAACGATGGAAACCCTCACAGCCCAGAGAGAGCAGGCTGTTTTAAGGTCACCTGAGTCCCATGGACAAGTGGGGACGAAGAACAGAGGCCTAGTTCTGTTTACCTAAACTATGCTTGAACCCATTCCATATAGACAGCAGCCTGGTGATCCCCGCTGGATGTGATCTGGGTGGTTGACTTCAACTTACCACATCATCACTTCTGTCTAGTTGATAATGCCATTGATGACTTCACAAAGGGCACCACATATCAACATGTCCAACTGAGGATGTTGTGTTTAACAGCCAAAGAAAAGGTCTCAGGCTCATTTGGTCAGGTAGGGTTAAACTAGTTTACCCAAATGTTTGGTGTATCTGTGTTCTTTCCTGTCCTATGTACTTTTCCCATTTGATTTGTCTCAGACCAAAAGCTGCAAAGTCAGATATTTCCATGTGTTTTCCCAAGTAGTCACTGATGCCAATAAAAACTTGCATTTGTGTACTATTTTACAGTCAGCCATAGTCTTAACTACAATCAATAAAAGGTTTTCTTTTTTATAATTTCACAGAATAATATGTGCTTAAGAGGCCTTCCATTGTGATCAAATCTTTCCATAAGATCATCAAGCTAGGGCCTGGCATGGTAGCCTAGTGGCTAAAGTCCTTGCCAAGATCCCACAGGAGCACTGGTTCATATCCCAGTTACTCCACTTACATTACTACTCCCTGCTGGTGGCCTGGAAAAGCAGTTGAAGATGACCTAAAGCCTTGGGACCCTGCACACACGTAAGAGACTCAGAAGAAGCTCCAGGCTCCTGGTTTCGGTTTGCCTCAGCTCTGGCCGTTGCGGCCACTTGGGGAGTGAACCAGCAGAAGGAAGATCCTCCTCTCTGTCTCTCTCTCTTTCTCTGTCTCTCACTCTCTCTCTCTCTGTGAATCTGACTTCAATAAAAATTTTAAAAACTAATAAATAGTTTTAAAAAGCATCTAGCCAATAAGCCACTTTTATACTGTTTCAAAAACCTAAACACAAAATCAGTCCATTTCACCTGGCTCTACTAAAATGATCCCTATTTTCGCTTTTATTATGGATGCTATAATGGCAACAGTCATTGATTGGATATTTGCTAGGCAAAATGGTCCAGGGCTTTTAGTTTTTACACACATCAGCTCATTTTACCTTCAGGGCGCCTAGTTTCACAGAAGAGGCAGGTGCTATTCAGAGAAAGTGAAGAATTCAGCCAAACCACTCCCCATGCGCAGAAAGACCTAGACTGCTTTCGGCCTCTGAAGGCAACTTCTCCCCAACAGAAAACCTCAATTCTGCTCTTATCTCCAAGTGAACACCCTCCGTGTACAATCCCTTATCATTCAAGTCTTTCGAAGGCAAGGAAAACACCTTTGACCAAGTATCTATCCATTACCAGATAACGTAAGAACTCCACTTCGATGATGAAAGAATGGAAAACCAGATTAACAGAAACTGCATGCTGCGTGTCTATTGATATTACACGCGAAGAGGAAAAGTTTTTACAATAATTACAAAGAACAATAATCATTTCCTTCTAAGTGTAAAATGCAGTTGGAAATCAATAGCTCTAGCTCACAGATGAGCTAGTATTAAAAACACAGCCCTAGTGATACTACTATAGCATTCAAATATACAATAGAAGAAACAACAAACTTGTTTTCCTAATAAACCAAGGATGAATTCTCATTGGTATTTCTATCTAATTTAACCAACAATTTAGTAAGTACATTGATTTACCAAAGATTATCTCAGATTACATGAATCAAAATCCATTTGAGTTAGTTTCTCTCTCTCCCTCTCTTTTTTTTCTTCTTCCAAAAAGATCCTTACAGCATATTAGAGATCCCCTTTGGCCAGAAGGGTTGGAAGGAGTGTTACAGGACTAGACAGTGGGCTAGGGACTAACAGACACGTCTCTAGGCTGTTTGTCCACAAAAACTCATCTGAGTAGACAAAATATCAATTTCTGCTAAGACTGAATTTGTTTTAATTTTGTTTGATGTTTCTCTCTGGACAGTGGCCATTGACAGCAACCTTTCTGGAATAGCTTTCTCTTTTTTTTTTAAAGATTTATTTTTTTTAAAGATTTATTATTATTATTATTTTATTGGAAAGGCGGATATACAGAGAGGAGACAGAGAGGAAGATCTTCCGTCCGATGAGTCACTCCCCAAGTGAGCGCAACGGCCAATGCTATGCCAATCCGAAGCCAGGAGCCTCTTCCAGGTCTCCCACGCGGGTGCAAGGTCCCAAAGCTTTGGGCCGTCCTTGACTGCTTTCCCGGGCCACAGGCAGGGAGCTGGAAGGGAAGCGGGGCTGCCATGATAGAACTGGCGCCCATATGGGATCCCGGGCATGCAAGGCGAGGACCTTAAAAACTTGCGCCACCGCACTGGGCCCTGGAATAGCTTTTTCAAGCAAGCCACTCAGTAGAGAGTCCTCCCTGGCTCAGGTATGAGCCCTCACTGGCTAAGTTAAGTCAGACTCAAAGACCCAAAGTGAATGTCCAAACACAAAAATCACAGAAACTTACTACTACAAGACTGTACACAGATGAACTCGGGAGAAAACTCAGACACCAGCAGATTTTTTATTTAGTTTGTATTTCGTATCTGACTGGCTGAGTTCAAAGTGTAGCCCATGAGGGTTAAGCATTTTTCACATCTGGACTTAATACCTGTAGATGTAAAAGGCAAGCACGGTTGGACTGCTGAGCATCTGGGTCTGCAGAAAGAAAGGAAGGACCTCATTCCTACACTGAATCTCAGACCCCCAGAGCAGCAGCAAAGTCCAGCTCCCATGCTGTAGGGTTGTACAATGCCCCCACAGTGCATCTCATGGCAAAGCTGTCACCCTAAGCAGGTCACCCAACGCCACTCAGTGCATTCCATGAGCAACCCACTGCTGATGGGAGACCCACCCCTCAGTGGCACAGGCCCCATCAGCTTCCAAGTGCCCAGACTATGCTCACCATCACACCCTGGACCCACTTCAGGAGTTCCTACTGTTAACCCAACCAATGATTTTTCCCATAGCATACTGTAATTTGCTGCCATTTTTGTCCAATTCAATCAAACACCTGAGGCTTTTCTTACTGAAATGTGAGAAAACATCTTGAAAATAGAAAGACACAATCCCTATCCTACAGGAATAACTATTTATTGCAGCCATTGTTGCCATTATCAAAAAGCTATACAGCCTTTGAGGCTGGCATAACGGCTGAAGCCAATTCTCCACCTGCAGCATTGGCATCCCATTTGGGTGCTGGCTCTATTTCCAACCAATCCACTTCCAACCCAGCTCCCTAATTATGGATTATGAAGGCAGCAGGAGAAGGCTTAAGTCCTTGGAATCCTGCATCCATGTGGGAGATCCAGA